ACACTGCGCGGGGCCAGGGGTTTGTCGTAGCCACATGGGCGGCTTCTCTCGGCCGGAGACAACGGCGGGGAGGGGGGAAGAGGGAAGGGGTGAAGTGCCGGCCGGAGCGAGAGTTCCGCGTGCTTTGTCGGGGTGCGGGTCGGGGCCTCCGTGGTGGGCCCTGCATGGCGGCCTAGGGCGGGCCCTGCCCGGCCGTGCGCGGGAGCAGCGCCGAGTCTCACCGAGGAGGAGGAGGAGGAGGAAGATCCCGACACTGCCGGGCTATTGTTGGGCTGCAAGAGGGACAGCCCCGGTGTTTGGGGGTCTGCGGGAGCCGCCGTTAACGGGAACGGGGGTTTCCAGAAGGCTGCTGGTGGCGGAGGTCTCCCGTAGGGAAGCACAAAATAAAGCGTCGGGGCGGTTAAAAGAATTCAGCACTTCTCAGTAGAAGCTGCTGCCTTGCACGAAGAGGGATGGGACAGATGTTCTAGTTTGGGAGATAAATTACCTCTGGATCTCTTCCTGGGGTGGTGTTGGGGGAGGAAAAAGAAGGGCATGCGCGTACCGACTTTAATGTCTGGAGGTTGTACCACAAGGAATAACTATAAGACTTTGGAAAGTGGGGGTTTGGTTAAGAAAAGACTTATTCTTTCCATATTTCCTCGCTCAGAGGAATCTGCTGGGGAGGAGAGCCGGTCGCTAACCTAAACAAGACTGTTTAGGAGTACTTAAGTACTTTTGTTAATGTGGTGTTCATTCATTTTCTGCAGTAAGTAATCCAAACAAGACAACGTTGTTGTTGTTGTTACTGTTGTTTTTATTGTTATTATTAGTTGGGGTTTCTCCACTGGTTGAGCTTTAATGAATGATGAGTTAGTTTTGGCCGTCATAGTTGGATTGTAAGTTATTTATGGAAAACCCAGTGGTACATAATAGTTCCTATAGCTGCTGCTTTGAGAGAGATGAACACTGATGATTTTTTAAATTTTCTCCCGTTCACGATACCTTTTTCAGTTATGCTATATGTTAAAATAAAGTGTCACAGTTACAATAATTTATCACTTAAGTGATAGGAATTTCTGTGGTTTAAGTTGCACAAAGCATCCAGCTCCTTCCCCCTCAGCATTTGCCTGGAGTGTTATTTGGGAGGAGGGAGAAGTGCTTGGGTTTGGCTGTTCTAAATTGCATCTTAATCAAATACATGATTTCATGTTTTTATATGGGATTTAGGTCATTATAAAGGAAGATAATACTTGTTTGAATTTGTTTTAATTGGTTGCAGTTGCATGATCTAAGGACCAATCTTACCTTAAATTTTTCAAGTGTGAGGAACCATTCCCTCTCTTGAAAAATGCTGCTCTAGCTAAGCAGTGCAAGTCAGGAAGAAATTGTGAGTTCAGGAAGTTTTCATGACCTTGTTTATGTGTTTCTAGGCTTACTTTATTAAGAAAATAATTCGGTTTGGTGTACAGTTAGATATTTTCCTTTGATTGTGAATTCAAAATAAGGAGGAGTTAGATGAATTATGTGAAATACAAGGTGAATGGCTTAAGCCATGTTCATCCAGGTAGAACAGATAAGGGGATTGGTTTGATTTGGTTTGTTTTATTAAGGTGAGAAAGACCTCTCTTCTTGGTTGGATTTTGTTTCACTATCATTCACTTTTAATAAATTCAGATTACTTTCTTCAAATAAGCAAATCAGAATATTTTCAATTTTTCTTTTCACTACAACATTAGGCTGAAGAGTTTGACCATAACCAAAAGACTCCATCTCTAAGGTGTTCTGTTTTGTTGATTTAGAAACAGGGCCTTGTCTCTCCTTCCCAGTCCTCTGACAGTTAAGAAAGTGAGAGCTGTTCTGTGTCTGACAGCAGTGGGAAAGTTACAGGTTTAGGATTGAGCCTTCAGTCCTGCAGGGTCTGCTGCTCTTTGCTCTGCTTCTGCTTTTATTTATGATTTAATACAACCTTTCTGCAAGGAATGTTTTCCTAGGTTCTTACAGTCAACTGATGAGTTCAGAAAACCCAACAATTATGCCTCTTAAACACGTGTCTCAGTTTGACTTTGTCGCCTAAAGATTAAATTTGCTAATGCTGACATCTTTTAAGACAGGAAATGCAGATGAGGTTCAAATGGTAACATTAATTTCTCTACCTGCTGTCCTGCTTTTCATGTGAAATCCGTGTGCTAATGTAATTTCTTTTGAGATTAGATATAGATCAACATGCAACCTGCTCAATGCCAGCATGTGGTATTGATCCCAAAATGTAGAATTTTGTGTCACATTCAGTTTTGAATGTGGAAGATTATCAGAAGCAGCTCATCTCTATTTTGCTTATCATTTGAAGATTATATCCATGTGGCTATCAGAAACTGGAAGGTGCAGTGAAATACAGGATAGAAGTGGAAAGTGTGGAAACAGGGTGTGTTAGCTCAGTGTGTGATTCATTTGCAGTGCCAATGAAACATGTTGATCATATATTATAGAATATTTCGTAGAGCTTAAGTTCTTACTTTAAAACTTTGACATGATTAAAGCCTTTAATCTTTAAAAATTGGAATCCCATTTGTGGTATATTTCAGTATGATGGCGTGTCCTTAACCAGTCCTGGTTGTGGCAAAAAGGCTTTGTTTTGTGTGCAGGAAGAAATTATTAGTATCATATATTTCAGTCTTTCTGCCCACTATCATATCAGTAGACAGAGTATATTTCTTAATTGATTCACGCCTTCCTTCTTTAATATGCCACCTGCAACAAAGTGATTTATTACAGAAACAACAATTGCATAAGAGTCTGAGGCTGTTCAGTAGCACAAGACAGCCCATCATAGACTGCCCGTGCTCCTGTAAGGTTTGAAATTTCAATGCTTCATCAAGGCAAACTCAGGGTTTTCAGGAAAGTGGAGAGGGGTGAAGAGCTGTTAAGAGACAAATGGCTGTGAGCAATCACCTCTGATAATGCAGTTTCTCAAAATGTAGGTATTCAGAATATGATTGGATGGTTTTAGCTATTTATAATGTGTTGTGCTTTTACTTTTATAATGCCAGTGACCTAAATTGCTTCACATCTAGGTAGAATTTAAGGACTTAATCCTCCAGGGGACAGAGGGAGAGAACCTAGCCTTCCATTACTAATACTCTTCCAAGAGCAAAAAACATTTGTCTTTAAGCTTGGGTTTGGGAGAAGGGCTGATGTTTGTTTGGGTGGGCGGGCATTGCTCTTAAAATGTCTGCTCATGTGAGTGTTAATGGATTCAAAGAACTCAACTATGAGAAGGAATTTACAAGTTTTCGATGTGTAAACTAGAGTCTGCTGGATTTTATTCTCAGCCTTTTTACTAGGAATTGTCTCCCTGAAGGAATTTGTTTATGTCATTGTTTGTTACTGTTAGAGAGATACTTCTCCATCAGTAAATAAATTTCTTGCAGAAGAGAAACATGTTAATGTAGAAGCATTAATAATACTGAGCTGTCAATACCTTCTTTATATGGGAAAGGTTTGAACTGCTTCCCAAACTCCAATTGAGCTTGCAATTCTTGCTGTTAACTTAGTGGACCTGGATGTAAAGGATACTATTTCCTACCTCCATGAGATTTCAGGGGTTAGTCAATTTGTGATAAAGAAGTGAGAGTTCCAAGCATTCCTGTTTGTTGTAGTGTGGCAGTGTCTTACCAAAATGAGAGCGCTTGGGAGCTTTGAGACCCAAGCTCTGGCTTATCCTGCAGCAGCAGTTTGACAGTGACCCTTCTCTGTTGCACCTTCTTGGTAGCAAAGTTGCCGTAATAATTCTGCAGAAAGGAGTAAACGCTTGTTACCTGCATAGGGACTTAGGCCTACCAAACTGCCTGTTACAGAATGTGTTTTCATATTTTCAGATTACTTGTGATTAGTGCAGTGGCCTGATAAACCGTGAGTGATGAGTGATGCCAGTTGAAGCTTATCAATCACCTCTGTTTCAGTCCTTTATGGTTCCATGATGCTTAAGCCATTCCTTGGCCCTTATTGTTCCCACTCACCGTTGATTACTTAGGATTGATTGGAAGTGCAGTTGATGTTCAGCCTGGGAAGGCAGATGTTGCACTCAGTGAAGCTGAGCTGGAATGGTACTTGCAAGATTCTGCAGGATTCCAGCAAGCTGTGTTTTCCTGTTGAAGCAAACTTAGTTGAAGAGCATAAAGAAATAGGTATGAGAGGGGAGGGAAATCACTTCTGCCACAGCGGTCTGAACCACTCTGAAGTGAGTATTTCTCTGCAGGCTGCTTCCTAGGAGAGAATGTCAGGTAATTAATTCACTGTCTCACTCACTAGGAGTGCCATCCGAGTGCTAGAGTGGCAGCATCTAGAAGCTGATAGAAAATTATGGCAGCTTTTAGGTGTGGGTGTGTCTTGTCATTATTTTGGGTTTGAGTTTTTTGTTTGTTTGATATGGCTTGTGTTTGTTTGGGGCTTTTAATAGATAAATAATTGTTACTGTGTATAGAGTGTTTAAACCTTGTATTTTAGTTGTATTTTAGGTTACTGCAACTTTTGGCTATAACCATCAGTTCATAAAAAGAGGACTTTCCTAGTAGAGCTATTTAAAAATAATTGTAATTCTTTTGGATTTCATTGAGGGTGGGATTTTTTGTTTTGTTTTGTTCATCGTACTTCCAAGTACTTTTCCTTTGCTTCTTTAGTTACTAGTAGTTTCTAAACTTTTGTAGGCCAGTTTGCCTAATTTTTTGGTTGATAGAAGATACTCTACAACCCTTTTAACAGTATGGTATGGTCAGACTGTCATTACTGTACTCTCTGTGTCTTAGGAAATTGTCTAATCCATCTCTGAAATTTTTTGGGAGGTGTCTTTCCACTGATCCTTATACCTGGATGTGAGTATGAGAAAATGGAAGAAGAGAATGTATAGAGAAGTCACATTTCTATGGACTAGTACAGAAATCCATCCCCGAAACTGCTCCTTTGAAGCAACACCATAGTAAAAAAAGGGATATTGCAGCTTTCAGAGAAGAGCAGATTCTGAAACCAGATTTTGTCCAGTAACTTTGTCCTTCTGAGAAGACAAAAAACAAAACAAAAAACAGTCATTTTACATGTTTTCTTAAGTATTCTTGGTAAATTGCTTCAGATAAGTACCAGTGTCCAGACCTGGATCATGGGAGAGGTATTCAGATAACATAAGAGATTTGTGTTTCTTGTCCATGGTTTGTTAATAGAAGCCTGATTGTTTTTCTGAGTGATCTCTAAAGCAGTCAGTAGTGTTTTAATTTCCATAGCCTGAATTGCAGCTTGGAAAAATAAATCGGGTTGATCTAATTTGATCAGCGGATATCACAGGCTTTTTAGTGAGTTGGTGGTGTTTGGGGCCTCTCTTCTCACCCCCGTTTCTTCAAATACTTTAGTGAGTATCATGGGAGATAAGATACTGCAAGTCTTTCTCTGAAGGATATGTGAGAGGATTAGAATTAGGCTGTAATGCATTCACAGTTACTAGATTTGCCAAAAATCAGAAAGTAGCATAATGTAAAGGAGGTGCTGGTAGAATGTTCAGGCTAGTTTTGGATTTACCCCTTAATTAATGGCAGTCGCATCTGTAGGAAGGGCCTAGTGAAAAGTTAATTATTTAAGATTGTTTATCAAATTAGGGATCAAAGTATTTCTACTAGATCTAAGATTCTACCCTTACGGCTCTTCTGATGAATAGACAGGAGATATTTCTGTGTTATGAACTTCAGGAACTGACCAACTTGACTAGCTAAGCCCATGTTCATGGGTGAGGGTGAATAATCTTTTTAACAAAAGCTGGTTTTACCTCATCATATGTTAAGTATTTACTGACTAGAGTAACAGGTTAGTAGGTTTTTGAACTTTCTGGTGGTCTTTTTCTGTTATCAGAAAAATAACCTGACTCAATGTAAAACCATACTGTGCAGAAACAAACCAAACCCTTTCTAGTTGGCAGGGAAGAACTTGTTCCATGCTTCCATGGCAATTGTTCTCATCTCTTGTGGCTTTTCATAGTTAAGAATTTCACTTTTATTAACTTATTAAACTATTAAATAGCCCAATCTGATTTAAGTCCTTTCCTTTGGAACTACTAAATATTTATATTTATAAATTGATGACTCTCTCCTCTAATCTTAAATATTTGGTGGTAAAATTAAGAACTATTACTATTGCAAGGAAAAGTAAGATTTTTAGTCTTTTGTCATCAAGATGCATCTTGTAGCACTCACTGCTGCCAAGAAATATAAAGATAGAGGGTGTGTAAAATTTTTAGAAATCTTACTATGTTTAAAGGAAACTTTATTGCTGTGTTTTATAAAATAAAAGCAATTACATAAAATTTTCAGTTCAAGGGGCAAAAAATGATGCCTGTTTCTTTCTTCTCTATCAGGTTTGCAAATACTACCTTTGTGGCTTTTGCCCAGCTGAATTATTTACAAATACCCGTTCTGATTTAGGTAAGTTTATAAGTCATGACATTTTTATTCACATAAAAGTAATTACAGTTGAGCTTTTGAATGCAAACTGTGTTTTTTTATTGTTAATTACTCTGTCAGAACACTTTGAATTTTATTTTATTTTTTCATTTCAAGGGTTTCTGGTGATACAATATGCTAAAAGAAATATTTATCCTAGATTCGACTTTGTCTAAGTAAAAAAAGTCTTAATTTTTTTTTTCTTACTGTGTAAGCCAGGTTACTGGGTATGGGGTGCTTTTCTCCTCAAGTGTCAGTTTCTAGTTTGGGTTATTCTACCTGGGCAGGGTTTTAAAACCTATTTTTGTGTGAGTATACATGATTGAGCTGCTTTACTTTAGAGACTCTCTTACTGTAATAGGTACTTCTGAAGACCAGCTGTAAATGATGTGATGGCTACGTGTAGGATGTTGTTTGGAGATGGTGACTTAGCAAAACCAGACTTTCTGTCTTAGTTTCTAAGTCTGTTGAAGAGTTTGAGAGTCTGGGGAAGGTGAGGAATTTTAACACAGCCACCTTCATGAAGTCAGAGCACATACCTCCTAATTTACTCTGAAGATCTATGTTTTAAGTAGCCAGTGTGTTGCAGAGAGCCCTGGAAATTAGAAAGTGCCTGATGAAATTACCCTTCATATGTAATTTTTTTTTTTTTTTTTAAAGCTCCAGGTGTTTAGGATATTACTTTGTTTGTATTTGATGATGTAAAACTTTATCTGGAAATTCTATTTTTATGAAGACTTTTTATGTAGAGTCTCTTTCGGTTTTATAATTACTAAACAATGTTGGCATTCTTTTTCGTTAATGTATCTTTCAAGCTCCAAGCAAAGGAAGCAGAAAGACAGAAGCATAAAAGTCCTTGTGAAATGTTTATAGCCCTTTTCTGTCATGGTGCACAAACTGGTGCTGGTGGAATATGAATACAACATTTAGGAATGCAAACTTTAGCTTTTTGTGTTGTCTTCTTAGGTCCTTGTGAAAAAATACATGATGAAAACCTACGCAAACAGTAAGTTTGTTGTTTGATATGTTAAAGCAGATAGAGTTTCTGGTATCTTTGAAATTTGTTAATAGCAACCCAAACATTACAAATTACTCGCTCTTTTTTATTTGTGTAAACTTATTTATATTTTTATTTAAATAAAAATTTACTTATTTAAATTTATAGTATTCTCTTACTGTGAGCAAGAATTTATAATACTGTGTGTCTTGTTATTTAGTTTTCATCTATTGGGGATTGATGTGAGCTCTCATTTTTAAATTTTTTTCTCAGGTATGAGAAGAGCTCTCGGTTTATGAAGGTGGGCTATGAGAGAGACTTCCTGCGCTATTTGCAGAGCTTGCTTGCAGAGGTGGAGCGCAGGATCCGGAGGGGCCATGCTCGTTTGGCACTGTCACAGAACCAACAGTCTTCTGGGGTGAGTCTGCATGAGTCATTGAGGCAGCTTTTCCTGTAGACAGTATCTTCAGGGTCTTACCTATTCAGGTAAAACTTAATGCCATCCAGAAGATTCCTGATCAATAAGATTATTCATCATTTAGCCAGCAGATTGTATCTGGCACTAATGGATGAGCCAAGAGAGACTCCACAGTCAGCAAGAGCCCTCTCTGTTCTCACTGTCTCTTGTTTCCTCAGAATGAGTATCTGTTCTCTACCTGTCAAGTGTTGTCTTTACCTTGACCTCAGTTCACCCTCTCTCCACTAGTTGCACATTCCTCCCTCCCTTCACTAGCAAGCTGTATCTTGTCCCCTGATGGATTTGGAGCAGTGATTGTGGCCTGTGCTCTGTGGCTTCTGTGACTGGCAGTACAGCCTTGCTCCCTTCTGCTGCCCCACACTGTTCTGTGCAAAGTCCAGTTGCTTCAGAAGGAGCTGTGGACAATATCTGGTCGAGAGACAGCACTTGTGGAGCAGAGCAGAGGTGGGAGGGCAGCAATAAGCCTATTCTGGCAGCCTGCAGAGAGGACACTGCTGACAAATGCATCTTTGAAGTGAGATTCTTTTCACATTTCATGCTCAGAATTTGAATTCAAAGCCCACAGAACTTCTAAGTCATACTTCAATGTCTGCAAAGATATGCAATAGCTGCATGGGAGTGTCAGAGTTTGAAGTTACGACAGTTAGGACTTTGAATACGGTTTTCTTGCCAGGACCTTGAACATTTTTGTTGATTTGGGAGGAATTAGTGTGACTAGACTTAACAAGAGTGGAGTAAATTGTATTGAGAAGTGTTTTATATTAGACTAGACTATTTTTAGTAGCTTCTTGTGGGAGAAGAGGCCCAGGGGGAGGTTATTCCCAAAGCATCTCTGGTATATGAGAAGACATACATTTGTGTGCTTAAGCTACTTTAACAAAAGAAGAATAGCCCCAGCTCACTCTTTTACTTTTTGCAGGGAGCGGGACCTACTGGTAAAAACGAAGAGAAGATTCAGGTGTTAACTGACAAAATTGATGTACTGCTTCAACAGGTGAGGGTTTTTTAACCCCCATAAGAGAGATCTCTTGCTTTTGTTACTTGATCAAAAATTAAACTTTTTTTTTTTTTAATTGCCTTTTAGATTGAAGAACTAGGTTCAGAAGGGAAGGTGGAAGAAGCACAAGGAATGATGAAACTCGTTGAACAGTTAAAGGAAGAGAGAGAACTGCTGAGGTCTACGACTTCAGTAAGTAATGCGTTTGTAGTTCTGAGACATACCAAAATATCCTTCTGCTGAAGGTATGCAAGGTCTGTGCAGAATTTATTATATAGTAACAGGACATTTGGCTGTATTAATCCAGTGTGTTGATGAGGCATTTTACCTTGAGAGTGGGTTTCCTGCACACAAATTACTATATTCACCCAGCAGTGGTAGAAGAGAGCTTGCACCTTCCTCTAGTTGAGGTCTCAGTTAAACTTTGCCCTGTAGTCTCTGCAATATAATTCTACTGAACTACTGTGACTGTTACAGAAAGCCCTTGAGTCAAGGTTGTGACTAGAGACAGGCATCTGTCTGACTCTGAGAGCTACAGAAGCCAGAGGGAATGTTTTAAGTATCAAGATTCTGTTAATGAAAAGGAGCTTAAGTTTAAGGATTTGACTTTGGTGTTTAATGAAATGCTCAAATTGAGATTCTTGTTTTATCTTTTGAGAGCCCATAAATGTTACAGACAGCGTGTTTATGTCCATACTGTATGATTCATGAACACTGCACAGCAATAATCACCTGGGTTTATGTTGAAATGTCAATGTACTTCTCATATGTCTGTTGAAACAGTGGTTTAATTTGACCACTGTACTTCTAAATTGAAGCCAGTAATTATTTTTGTTTTTCTTCATGGGGTATTCTAGCCCTTTGATTCCTTGAGGTATATTCCATGGTAGTTCTGCAGCTCCTGACATTTCAGTTGATGCCAAAGTAATCTTAAAACTGGAAAAGAAAGCTTTAAAAGAAAAACTTAGAACTTTAATTTTTCTGATATTGCAAGGAAGCTGCAGATACAACTTGGTACATATTAATGCAGTCAGTAATGGTTCTGTGGTTTCTCATGGGCTCCTTCCATGTGGCAATGGGCATAGGGTGGCCTCTTTTCTCCCTATTTACTCTGATGGGGTGCAGTGCTCCTAAGAGAAAGCAGGCAGATGTGATTCAAGCTTTCAGTAGAGCCTGGGATTTGACAACAGTAATATAGAGTTCAACCAAAACTTTCCTTTTGCCTTATCAAATATTCTTCTTTTTCAGACAATTGAGAGCTTTGCAGCCCAGGAAAAACAAATGGAAGTTTGTGAAGTTTGTGGAGCCTTTTTAATTGTAGGAGATGCACAGTCCAGGGTAGATGACCACTTGATGGGAAAGCAGCACATGGGTTATGCCAAAATAAAAGCTACTGTAGAAGATTTAAAAGTAAGTATTTCCTCCAGTTATTGAAATGCAAAATTCTTGGAGGCTTCCTAATGTACAGAAAAGGCTGTCTAGTGAAAAGTTTTGGCTTTTATAGCCTCAGAATCTATAAGCTTAAGTAGTCGTCATTTCTTGAGTGAGTCATTGAGTAATCACCATTTCTTCCTGTGAACTTGTTTTTTAAGGAAAAGTTACGAAAAAGAACAGAAGAGCCTGACCGTGATGAAAGGTTGAAAAAAGAGAAGCTAGAACGGGAGGAGAGAGAGAAGGAGAGGGAGCGGGAAAGAGAAGAGCGGGAAAGGAAGAGACGACGTGAAGAGGAAGAAAAGGAAAAAGAGAGGGCTCGTGACAGAGAGAGACGTAAAAGGAGCCGATCACGTAGCAGGCATTCAAGCAGGACATCTGACAGGAGGTGCAGCCGCTCACGAGACCACAAAAGGTCAAGAAGCAGAGAAAGAAGGCGGAGCAGGTACCTGTGTGTGTGCCTGTGTGTCTCTTAAGTATTTTCATATAACTTTCCAAAAGGTAAAAATCTTGTGGGGACTTGATCTGTCAGCCTGAGTCACATCACTGATTTGTTAGCTTCACTTAGGTCTTGCTTCTTAAGCCAAGACACACCTTATTGGTTCTAAGGATAGGCAAGTTTTTGCTGAGTGTCTTCTCTCCATTTTTGGAAGATGGCACCGTAGTGGTGGAATTTGCTTTATGAGGGAGCTTTCAGCAGATAAAGAATGCTCCCAAAAAAGTAGGGTCTGCTTTCTTCCTTTAGTTGGTCTGTATTTAATGGTGGTAGATACTTTGAAACTGTGTAGTTAAGTGTTTTAGTAAATTAAGAGGTCAGTATGAAACCAGGTCTTCTGTACCGGGAAATATTTATATACAATATTTTAAGATTTGGTTTCTGCAGATAATGACTGTATTTAAAAGTGCTACTGTTCTACAGTTTTATATTCTGAGTTAGAAAATAGCAGCTGAGATTTACATTTTTGAAATTCTCTGTGAATGTTAAGGAGTCGTGACCGGAGGAGAAGCAGAAGCCATGATAGATCAGAAAGGAAACACAGGTCTCGCAGTAGGGACAGGAGACGGTCAAAAAGCCGGGATCGGAAGTCCTACAAGCACAGAAGCAAAAGCAGAGAGAGAGAACAAGACAGGAAGTCAAAAGAAAAAGGTATGTTTGTATAAAGACTGAGTTCTTAGAAAGTTTTGAAATAATCTTTCCTTAGAGTCTCAAAAGCTGTTAGCCTTTCAGTGAGTGACTGAAAGTTCTTAGTACCAGATCAGACCTGGTTCTAAAAGCTGTGTGTGTTGCTGCAAGCAGTTTGAAGCATTTTGTTTTTTTCCGGTTAACATCACTGCATATGTGTGCATACCTACACCCCAGAGTCCTTCTCTTACCTGTTGCACTTTGTCTGCAGATGAAGTGTGCAAGGACTTTTTTTATATATTAAGACCTGTTTACTTTTAGGAAAACATAAGCCTGTAATCATCATTTTGTAAGAGTGAATGTCTTACATTCCTACTCTTAGTGGTTATTTGCAAATTACCCTTTGCAGGCACACGTTTTGTGGGAGATTGGTACCTGGCTTTTCATCTGTACCATCTGTTACTTCTCAACACTATCAGGTTTCTGTTGTTATTCTTTTAACAGTGCTTTCAAGTTTTTTTTCTAATCTATAAATGCAGTCCAAGATAAATATTGCAGAATCTCTGTGATGCTCTAAATGACAATTTATGCCTCCTCCCCAGTCTCCTGCTCTTCCTCCCCACCTTTCTCCCTTTTTTTTATTTTTTTTTTTTTGTTGTTCAAACGAAGTGAGTTTTGCTTTGTCAGTGTTCAGGTGAGTCTCAACAGAAAGCTGTGTTAGTCCTTGCAACAGTTTTGTAGCTGTACATGCCATGTACCACAGCATTCATGGTGACTCACTGCTTCACCAGAGGCTGAAGCTCAGAAACTTGACTTTAAGTAGGATTACAAAGAGCTACAGTGAGAACACTGTAGATTCCAATTTTGTGAGAAGATACTAATTCACTGTTATTGCTAAATTTCCCCCTTTAAAAGTCTTTTGGAACTTCTGAAGGAACGTAATACTTCTGGCTCTGGTGGGGAGCTGACTAATGGCCAGTCCGAAACAGCCACCCCACTTCATGGGCTGATCATCAGTAATGGATGAAACAATTGTGTTTCTAAGGTACTTTTGAGGTTCTCTGGAATGAAAGGTGCTCTGTGCATGTGTCTGGGTTGCATAGGCCTGTCTGCTTGACCCTTCTCCGTATTTATCCAGTGGATTGGTTGCCAAAATGTTGGTAATGCTTCATGTATTTCTCTTCCCTGACTTCCTTGGACTGTTTGAATTATTCTGGTTTATACTGTGGGGCACCTTTAGTATTGATGCTTCTCTCATTTTCCTTTGCCATGTAAGAGAGTGGGTTTTGTTGCTTGCTCGTTGGCAGTGGAAATGATGTGCAGGCTTTAAACTCAGATTCAGTGTTGTAGCCTATATCTGTCCATTTGTTACTATTCTTACCTGATACTGTGCCTTTTTTGCCTGCTTTATGAACAGATTTTTGGTACTTGGTCAAGAATGTCCTGTTTTCCTGAATGTGTGTATCTATGCATATAAGTAACTGTTTTCTTATTTATTCAAATTTGGTCTGGTTTTGAGCTTTTCTCAATTCAATTTTCTCAGTTCTTTCCTTAATCTTCCCATAAATAGAGGAGCTAGTGAACTTTCTTCAGCATCTCAAGTATTTTTAGTTTTAACTTAACTGATTTCCTTGCTGGCTGTTTTATTTGCTGCTTGCTACTTTCTTCCACCAGAAATGAGAACAGTGAGGTGATGCTATGAGCTGCGATGAAAATCCCACCTGGGAAAACCAATTACTTTTTTTCACTGTACCATCTTAACATTTGTAAAAACACAAATAGGCCTTAGAACAGAAGAAGTTTGTTGTTTTCCCTTTGCTGGGAAAATCCTTTAACAGAAAAAAAAAATTAAAAAGAGGAGGGGAGGAAGGAGAAAAAACCCAGTAGTAGTTAATAAGACCACATTGAATTTCTGTGCTGAATCTGTAAGCACCATTGCAGCTTCATATTTACAATGTGGCACTGTAGGTAGGTAGTAAAGAAGAAAGCTTTAGAGATTCATATATCTGAAGTGTGTAACTTAAGTAGTAACTTAAAAGTTAAATCTTAGTTATGTTGGGGATCCTGGCTTCAGAATCTGCTGGTCTTTATAGCCATCACTGATCTGCAGTTGTAAAAGTAAGGAGCAAAGGCTGTAACTACTTGTGGTAGTGCCTTTCATCTGGAAATCTCAAACTGCTTTATAAATATGAATATTAACACCAAAAAACCCCAAGGAGCAGTTTCCCAAGATTTGCATACAATTGCATATTAAATTAGTGCCACACTTTGAAAATTCAGAAGTCCTGGCTTCTTGTTCACTAAGATACTGTGGAAGACAACAGCCAAGGTTATAAGAAAAAAGTATGTGTAAAAATGGGGGTACTTGGTTTGTGACTCAGATTTCAGGGTCAGGGATACCTTTGCTAAAGAAAGGAGCCACCAGCCATTAACACCAGCTGAGTGTCAGCTTAATATAAATCAGTAGAATGCATCTAGTGTTGAAGTTAACAAACTTCAGAGCAGATGGAGTAAATAGGGGGTTTTAGTAAAAGAAAAATTATTTTCCAAGTACCTTAATTTTATGAAGGGTTCATACTGGACTGGGCCTCTAGACCACTTTGGCTTGGCTCTCTACCTTCCCTAATGTGGATTCTGATATTTACATAAAATTAATTATGATCATGTTTTAATGTTAGTGATTAAACGTCAGCAGATACTGCCAGAACAGCTCAGTAATACTGGATATTATGTTTGATTTTCTGAATAGTAAAGCGATTCACTTTGTTGTGGTAAGAATTCTCACAGAACACATCTCAGTTGCCCACACAAACTCAATCAGAAAAATGTGCTTTAATGTGTTTAATCAGGAAGCAAAGTCAATGTTATGTGATTATACCTAATACATCACAGTTGAAATAATACACCCATTTTCAACAGCAAACTAATTTTATGTGCTTTCTCTCTTACTGATTAAAAATACAGTGGAGGAACTTAACTTTCTGCAGATACTCTAGGGGTTAAAAAGTTATTGGGCTATTTGTTGAATACACTTTTTCAGTTCTGCTTGGCAAACTGGAGGTTTGCTATGGTAAACCTGTTTTAATTCTAAAATTTTTAGAAGAATTTGATCTTTCATGCCACAGTTTATTAGTTTTTTTAACCTTAAACAAAATTATCCTTCCTGACCACATTCAAGACACAAAAAAGACAGAACAAAACCCTGCACACTGCACATCCATAGGGCTATTAAGATCTACCATATCTACATAGGACAGAAGATAAGATTATTGGACTGACTACTAGTCCTCTGCGGGGAAACAAGACTACTATTCCTCAGTGGATCCACGTGTGCACCGGAGATACCTTTAAGACACAAAAAGAAGACTTTTTAACAAGGTTAGTTAGAGTGCAATCTACCTGCGGAGTTGCCAAATCAAGGGCAGACAGACCCAAACTGACTTAGTCTTTCAGTGAGCTGGGTGACATTGCCATGTGCTTTCTCCAGGCACCCTGCACTGGATGTGCTTCTGCAGGTGAATCCTCACTACTGGTGGTCATTAGGCAGTTGCCTTCATTTCTCTGTGAGGGCTTTACCCTATCCTTTGGTGTAGTGTGTTATAAAGCAAAGAAGTCGGGATGTCGCTGTTCTTTTAAAGCTTAATTTCTTGCTTTGTCTCCTGGAATATTAAAGTCTGTTATGCCAGTCTAGGTGATAATGTTATTTAAAATAGCTTTTTCAGAGTGTTCGATCTGTGCGCTCCTGTGTTGGAGATTTATCTGTATATTTATATTATTTACTTTGCCCGGATAGCAGGGAATAATCAGAAAAAAGAGCATGAATGTTGTTCTGTATGATGACATCTGAGAGGTTGGTTTTCTGGATTTATTTTTTTTTTTCTCTCCAGAGTGTCTTTACTGATCAAGAGGTGAATATTATGGTGTGAAATAATACAGCAGGAATTGGTATTTTTAGTAAATTTGAAAATACTGAATTTACAGATGAGGCACGCAGCTCTAATACTGAATGTCTTTCTTCCCATGGAAATATTTTTACTTCTGGCTTCCTTCCTTCTTTGAGTTTTTAGTGTAGCAAATATTTCAGTGAGCTTCTCAATTCATGATGAAATTGTGGGCTCATTCCCCCACATCTTGCTGTTTCTTTGCCTTTGAAAAAAAGTTGCTTTTTATATGTCTTCCAAGCTGTCCCCCAAGTCCTTTTAATGAGTTGTCTATAAATGATGGCTGTTTTTATAAAATTGAGAATTAACAACGCTGACAAATGTGCAGCTTCAAATTTAATCTTGATTGTCACTGATCTCCACCTGCAGAGCTGTCAGTGCTTAATACTGTTTCCCAAAGTGTTTGATAGTTTGAGATTGCTAGTTTTCAATTGGAAAGTATCAATTTCTTTGATTATGCAGTGAAGCATTGTCCCACCACTCTTTTCTGATTCTCTTTCAAGACCCATAATTAACAAGAATTGTAAACCAAAGCAAGCCATACACAATCAGAAATCAAAACTTGCGGACCAAAAGAGTCCCGTAACAAGTAAGGAAGCCATGCACCATAATTACACATTTGCCTAACCTCTTTCCCCCCAAATTTGTTCATTTTGACAGAGAGCTGAGTAGCTGCCTCTGTTTCTCCTCTTCCCCCACCCTCTATTGTCCCCATTTACCTTTATTTTGTCCCCTCTCCATTCCAGCATGGTAGTCTGAAGCCTATTTCTGTAACTTCTTGAGTATTACTGTTACTGCTATACAAATTGTCTCATGTTGTATGCAATATATATCTCACATGTGCAATGTTTGTTTTTACTTTGAAATCCATGGTCAATGTCTTCTTTCATGGCAGAAAAGAGGGGATCTGATGATAAAAAAAGTAGTATGAAGTCCAGTAGTCGAGAAAAACAGAGTGAAGACACAAATACAGACTCGAAGGAGAGTGAGACTAAGAATGAGGTCAATGGGACCAATGAAGACATAAAATCTGAAGGTGACACTCAGTCCAATTAAAACTGATCTGATATGACCTCAGATCAGACAGAGGTAAGTGCATTATTTCAAACTTTGATTAGGGCTTTTTGTTACTGTTTAACAGTGCAGCGTAAGTATGCACAGATGAAGATGGAACTAAGTCAAGTAAGAAGACAAACTAAAGCACCTTCTGAAGGAAATGACAGTGTAGTCCTGCAAAACATTTTGAGGTACATTGTTTTGTCTCAGCTATTTTGTAGCAGACTCGTGCCCCCATTAGTGTGCCTCTTTGGGACATATTTGTAATATAGTCACCATAGAAAAATTAATGATTTTTTTTTTTTATTTTTAGGGATTTTGTTTCGTTTTTTTAAAAAAAAGTTGAACTGGTTTTGTATTTAAGTCCATATTGTGTTGGTACATCAGCAGAAACTTTTGCTTAAATACTTAATATCTGAGGCACATGTTGGACTACTTTGTTTTCATATAAACTGCTAGTATTTCTTTGTCAAGGATGTTTCTAGTTTTTTTGCTTTATTGCCTTGCATTCTAATGCAGTTTGTTCTGTAACTCGAGAGCCAGTAGCATTGGATTGATGGAAGTGTAGGGTTTATGAATTATTGCAGCTGACTACCATACCTCACACAGCGTTGGTGTTGTGAGCGGCCCATGAAAAGCCAAATTAAAAATCAAGGATTCAGTCAAACTAAGCAGGTACTCATGCCAGGTACTCCTTTCTCTACCCACATCCATGTTTGAATGCTGTTGCCTGTAATCTTTAAGCTTACTGTTGTGTTTTTGATTTTGAAGCTAGTGAAAAGGACTTTTTGTGTATTGTGTGAATACTGTAAATCTGATGTTAACAGAATGGAATTTTCTTTCAACTGTGTGTAGGGATGCAGTGCTGCCCAGAATTAGATATCTTTAAAGAGTTTAAAATGCAATAAACACTACATAATATTCGCCTTGTTACTTTCAATGCAATTCAAGTCTTTAAGAGGTATGTGTTTAATATTTCCTACTGTGTAGGAGACTTTGCAGTCAGCCGTAGCACAGAACAGTGGAATGGCTGATGACAGGCTTGTAAGGCAAATGTAAATGCAGAGACAGATGCCACCAAATGATGACAGTGTTGATGGCAGGAATGTATGCTGGAAACTGTTTGTGGGATATGAAGCAGCTAAGCAATAGGCAATTCCAATACTGTATTGAAAGGACAACTTGAAGTTTTTTCCCCGCTCTTTCTTACAGAAGGTCTTTAGTTGTATTCCTGAAATAAGGAACTAAAAGTGGAGATACCAGCTGATAAATGAGCTTCTTGTAACATAATTTGTTACTGTAGTTGCATTATGTATGCTAGGAGCTCTTAAACATTTAATGTTGATATTAAACCATTAATGCTACATCATTGCTTCTAAAGCTAGTCATGTTCATTGATGTTTTTGTAGAGTTAAGATGACAGCTAACAACTGGGCGAGTGTATAGGAATGGTAAACAAAATGCTCTTAATGCTGTCTAATCGTCTGTTCTCCCAAAATTTTGCATTATAGGACTACTACATGAAGAGTCTGTGAAGACAGCGGAAGACAGCTTAAACTGAAGATCTGCTTTAAAATGAGGTGAAAGAAAGCTGTAGTGACGTAGAAAAATATAAAGTTGAGTTAGAATTTTTTTAAAAAAAATTTAATTCAGGACTGGTGTTTCCTCCCAGAGTTCAGAAAGATGTGTTGATAATAGCACATATGCTACTGAGAATATAAGTCCTGTATCCTTTTTTTTTTCTTTAAGACTTTTTAAGATAAGAAACCAACATAACCTGAACACATGGCTTGCTCAGTGTTTAATTGCAAGTTTTCATTCTTGGACTTTAAAATACAAGAATAAATGTTTAGTATTTGTGTGAATCAAACTAAAATGAATCCCATTTTTACAACTAAGCAATTCCTAGCTTCTTGATATATGAGAAATGGAAATAAAGTATCTTTGAATTTCTGTTACAAATTTGATTGTCTCTGTCATTGAACATTTAATAATATTAATTAAGCTGCTTTCCTAATAAATTGCTCATGTCTTCAAGCTTAGTTTATTAATTTGGATGCTTAGTTATTCTGTGCTGTTTGTGGGTTTGGGTTTTTTTGGTGCCATCAGGATTTGATTTCTGGCTTACTTATGCAGCAGTTAGATGCTGTTGGGTTCAGCATCTCCCCAAAAAGTGTCTTTTGCTGCAGTTGGTTAAGAAATCACAGAAATCTTGCAATAAAAATGTAGATACTAACTCTTTATAAAACTGGTCAACTTTGACAGCATATTTAGAGCGATTCCAGCACTGAGAGTGGCATTCAGACTGCCTTATATTTGCATTGCATATATTGCATTGATATTTTATTTGTTTATTGATATTTATAATATTGATATATTATTGATTAACAGCCCCTATGCAGTTGGTCAGAACAGACACACAGGGAGGGAGATGTGCCCTGTGAAGCTGTAGTGCAAGCAGGAGTGGTTCTTGTTGGAAAAGAACTGCAGTGTGTACGAGTCAGTGCTGTGGCTGTAAGGCAATGAATTTATGCTCTTTTAAAAGAGCATTATCTTTCCCCTTAGTATTCAGGCCTTGATGTATGTCACCAAAGTCAGACATGGACAGAACACCATTGTAACTTGTGCTCCCGTGTGTGGCCTGTGTGTGGAAGTGCACTTGTGAGGAATCTCTATCTTGGTGTCTTTGGTCAGTAGGGCTAGGTTTTGATACCACATGTAGACAGCTGTGTTCCTTTCTTGACTTCTGTTGTTCTGTTTTTATAGTCTATTGTTTATTAATTTAAGCAAATACATGTGCAGGGACACAGGGGATGGAGAGTGGGTATGGCAGTGTTTTTCAGAGAAAATAAAGTGTGAGCAAGTGAAATTATAGCTAAATCCTAATTGGAAAGACATTGGATGAACACCTCCTCCTTTTGAAACTTAGGAGACAGAACTCAGCCACTTCCTGGATGAGTTACTTCTTTCAGCAATGAAAATGTTTATCTTGCATCTTCCACTGCACTTATTTGTTACAGGATTTGCGTTTCCCCTTACTTTGCAAAAGTAAAAATGATAAAATGAGGTACCTTAGGTACATCAGCCTGGAATTCAGATTCTGAAAGTATCATAGGGGAGTCTTTAATGCTTTGGAGAAAAATTCTGTTTTGCAGAGCATAGGAAACATGGTGCCTTTCTGCCTCCAGATTTGACTGTACAAACATCTCCACAGAGATTCATTCATCTTTGTGAGAGGTACCTTTCAAAGCTCAAGTCCAGGATAAATACCATCCCAGATTTTCTAGGAATGCTAGGCAAAAGGCAAGTAGCTGATTTCAGCAAGCACCTCTTACATGCTTTTTCCATACTGGTTTTGACAACCTGACAGTCTTTTATTAGGTGTTACAAATGTACTGGTTTATGGTTTTTCAAAGTTGCAATAAAATTTTAAGTGTCATGGTCACTCTAGAGTGATCTTCACATCCTTCTACCCCTCACCCTGTAAAGGAAGAGATCGAGGTACTTGAAATGACTGATAATTTAATATAAGTGAAGAGTAGTAATGTCAGATCAGTACAAGTCTGTAGTGCAAACAAAAGTCATCCTTGGAAGAACAGTAAGTTTTGTAAACTTAATCTCAGTTGTCATTCCAACAGTTTATTGTTCAAAGAAAAAGCCCAACAAAACCAGTTAACATAACTAGTGTGCCTTAGAGTTTATCAAACTGCATAAAACATACAAAAATATTTCTCTGAATGCATAGATTTACTGTTACTACAGTCAGATTAGGAGTAGAGTTTAACACATTAACTGTTATTCTTGGTGGAAACTAGAGAAATAAAGCCTTTTAAACCAGCTTCCCTCTAGGAGAATGCTCAGTAATTAGTGGAGACAGTCCTTACACTGACTTCCTAAATTAAGGTACGGGAAAGAAATTAGATACTCCTATTAATTTTGAGCCATTTTACCACTACTGTTTTTCAGACAGTTATTGCACTTAATCTGAGCTAGCCTCCAAGCTATGCCTGGAAAGATAAATACACAATTGTTAAAATAAAACCTTCTTTCCTGTCCTACAAGAAAAACAAAGCAGGAACCTTAGTTAAGAAGTTTTACTTCATACTGTGTCACAGTCTTGAGCTTCCCAAGGGTTGAATCTGGCATTAAAGTAGCTCAGCTCCTGGTTGAAGAAAAAACCAGGATTGAGAATAGGAAGTTAGCAGGGTTAAGGTGATGTGTATGGACAAAGGGATTTTAATTATTTTGACTGCAGTAAGCAAGAATTTTAAGACTAAGTAACTTGGTGAAATCCTGAGCCCAGAGTCAAGCAACTCCTCTGCTGGCAGAAGAGATTTCTGTATTCTCTTGGCATGCAGCAGCTTGAGGGAGTCTTCCAGGGTAAAGCAGGACCCAGGGAGGGTGGCAGCCATGCTGCTTCTACCAGAACATCGTGCTGTACTATTTATAGTTTGACTGTCAACATTGCAGTCCAGATCGACAACAAACAGCGCCAGCTGTGCAAAAACTGCTCTGGTGCAGCTTCATAAAGCAGAGAGGAAGGACAATCAATACAGTTTGGGGTGGGGGGAACGGAGGGGAGAAAAAGAAGCTCATGCAGTAAAAACAAGTCTCTCACCCCTCCACCCACCACAGGATTCAATTAAGGCTTTTGGTGCAAAGGTCAGCATCATATCTTTTGGTAAAAAAGAAAACAGCCTCCAAATGTATAAGTTCCCAGGCTGCCGTTTTAATCAGGAAAGGCTTCAAGCTATTTATATTCCAGAAATGCTGTGACTTAAACACTTTAACCCACAAATCATTTTTTTCATTACTGACTTGCTTAGATGCAAGTTAAAAAGTCTGTAGTTTAACCAGAGATGTTTTTTTTTCACTCTCCACAAAGAAGAGGGAAAAAAAAAAAGTTTAAAGCACCTGGCATTCAGCCCTTTCAGTACTCACATGGCTATGTAACAGTAACAGTAGACTGCATGATGTAAAGTTACAAGTTAGTTACTTGCTTGTGGGGTGTTTCCCCATCTAGTGGCTCATAAAAGCATGCTGTGTTCCTTCCAGCTGTCATCTCTCATGAGGACACTGCTGTGCTTCTCACACAGCAGAAACCACAGCCCCCCTTGGAACTAGTGTATGAGGGATGGCCACAAAGAGCTTCCCTGTCTTGGTAATACTGACACCTGCTGTGAGTAATGCACAGGCTCACATTGGTCAGGAAGCAAATAAAACCACAGGTGCAGATTGGGGGTCCCCTCCCCATCTCCTGAAACATGAGCTTTCTCTTGAAAGGGCACTCCAACTTGACTGAGACTTAATTCAGGAACATTTATGAGAGGCTTTTGTATTTTTTTGGTGGAAGTACAATATTCTCATGGGGCGGGGGGGAGGGTATAATCATTTACATATGGACATGTTTATTCCACTTATTTTCAGCCCAGTAAAAGGGTTTCTCCTGCCACTTCCGATGATTAAAGATCTCCAGACAACCCATCTTGGTGTGTTTGTGAGGTGCAAAGGTTAAGGACATTTACATTTTTAGAGAGCAACTATTCATTGTGTGCCTCTTTTAATTTAATAAGGAAGTTTAAAAGGCATATATATGCACAGAGACACACAATTTCCCAAATCTTTCCATACATCTTACTTGGTCAGAGTGGGTATACTTAACATAATTTTCATACCAATAATTACATCTTTTGTGACTTCACTGCCAGATACAACCAATAAACTTCCTTGAAATATATTGTAAGCATGTGATTTTACTAGACAAATGAGGTATCCCTTGGCTGAATACAGTATCAAGTAAAAAAATAAAAGGAAACAGGATATTAAATATAAAATATTAGTTAAAATAGTAACCCTAATAATAACTTAAGGTTTTTTACACACATTTAAGTTGCTGCCTTCCAAAGGCAGCACATGTCACTGCCAGGTGTTCACATCGCAGTTGCAGCTCTCAAGGTCAGTAGGTCAGCTTGGATGCTCTGCTGTTGTGGCACGGCCACTCTGTCAGCATGGCCGCAGCGTTCAGGAAAGGAGAGCTCTCACTTCTCATAAGGACCAACTCCAGCTCTTGGAAGTCCTGGAGTCTGGCAACATCCTTGTCCTTGTAAGGAACAGACAAAACAACATTCTGCTAAACATAGCCAGTTATTTATGAAATAACTATAGGAAGTAAAAACTAAAATTCCACATCCAATAATAGCAATAAAGAATGAGAAAATAAATCCTACCAGCATATATACTCATTAGAAGTGTAGCAGGTTTGACTGGTTGATTTTTCTCCTTAAACTTTTTCTTCTTTAATCTCATTATGATCTGGTTGGTTTTGTACATGTCACTTAACAAAGAGTTGTGACCACTTTCGTTTAGGGACCTCAAGGATACATTTTTAAAAAGTCAAGCTGTAATAGTTCCATCTGCTTTAGGAGCTAAAATACTCTGCCTATTTTTACAAGAACTATTTTTAAACAAGTTATGATGAAGTATTAAGAAAGGTCCAACGTCCCTTTGAATCTGTCAGTTTAAGTCAGTTTTTATTTAACAAAGATGATGTTTTGCTAGTCTTTTTACAAAAATACCTTCTGATGTCTGTAAAGTCAAGGTAGTCTCTTATTTCTGTTCTTACCTTTCTTACGAGTGTGTTGGGTAGTTTTCTGATCTTCTCTACTTGCTCTGGATTAACACCCAGTTCACAGCAGCTCACTCTGAGCAGATCTTGGTAGGTCAATTCCTGTCTGTCCAGTTCAATCTCAATGAAGTCATTGTCTCTAAGGTTCTGGACTCTGACCTTGAGCACAAGTTCTGACAGAGAAACAAAAGGTTAACAACAAAAAAGATGAGCAACTCAAACTCAGCACTACAGTGTTTACCATTATCTTTTGAATTCAGGTTTTTTAATACAATCCCTGTGATCTCACTGAGAAATACTGTGCAGTTAACAGAAGCTTCCAGCAAAAATACACAGAAGAATCATGTTAACACTGTTAAAACTGATCCACCCAGTCACAAAGTCATTACCACACTACCAGAGGTGTATTTGATGTAA